AAGAAAGTGGTGGGTGATCTTGATAATGCAGAAGAAAGCTCTTCATTTTGTTGCTTTTAAGTTTTGGAAGTTTGAACTTTTATGATAAGGTTTATGAAAAGTATAAAAAGACTATATTATTGTATAATATTAAAAGTCTATATTGTCTTACAATATATATATACTAGATTCAAAAATATGCTTAAAGTTATCACAGAATAAAAAGAAATATCACCTCAAATGTGTCATTACTAATATGCAATTATGTGAAAAGTAAAAAAGAATTTATTCTAGGATCTAACATTGATTAACACTTTTATAATAAAGTCTATGTGAAGTATAGAGTACTATGTTGTACAATGTTAAAAGTAAGCATATATTGAAATAAAAAACATGCTCAAAGTTATTATATAGACTAACTTTTTGTAGAACGGAAAGCAATATCACCTCAAACATGTGCCATAATGTGAAAGATATGAATGATTTTATTATAGGATCTACCATCGATCAACTGTTGCAAAAAGAACTTATATAGTAGAAATATTTTAGTCTTAAATATTGTAGATATATTCAATACTTGATTAAAGCCAGAAATCATCACATTCTTCTATACTTATTTCAATATATTCTATCTATATACTACCATCTATCACCTATAATAGATTATCTGTCACATTACTTTGGAAATAACACCTCAATGGGATAAGAATAATACAAATATGTATAATAAGAAAAATATTTATAAAAAAAATTAATTTAAGAACCTTATATTTTATGACAAGATTCTATGATATGCCAGATATGACATGCTAGACACAACATGACAGAAAACCTGACTCAAGTCCCATAATTTTGTAATGCCATCAATTCAATGCCATCAATGTAAATTGGGACTTATAATTTTGTAATGCCATCAATTCAACACATATAGCTATCACATTATTTTCACATTATGGAACAGACACACCTTTATTATTAGGTTATAACACAAAAGTATTTTGTCACGTCATCAAATCTAGAAAGGAGTAGAAATTGTAGATTACTAGCAAATAATTGGGAACGACTTAGTGGGATCTATAGACTTCAAGAACAATGCCATAAAGAGTAAATCATTATTTTTTGCCTCCCCCTTGTAGTGCTGCCTCGATCTGCATTGCTCAACACCACCTCCTCACATGCCTTTATGTCACCACCTCCATACTTGCCATGTCAATCAGGTTTTACTTATTTATTCTCTATAAAACCATAAAGTCTAGTTTCAACATGCCCGAAATTGGAAAAGAGCAGATAGAGGGTGAAGGGGCTAAAGCCAAACTAAAGCTCAAGTTCATGTTTATCATGGTCCATGTGGTTAAAGTCCTTGGTGGGGAGTTTGAGGGACTTGAGGAAGTACATGTTCCGTCGCTCCTGGATAAGTGGTACCAGAGTTATAATGGTGGTTTCCATGTCCATTCATCTTTGCCAACCTCACTTCTGTGTCTAAAAAATGGCTAGAGAGCTCGTTCTTGAGCTATCTTTCCTTCGTTCCCTCTTTTTGTCAAAATGTCCACTCTGAATGCCAGTGCAACAATCAATTGTGACCAAACCTTTATGATTGTTGCTGAGTTAAGGGGTTCCTATTGTTAAACATCCTGGCACAATGGGCCTTCCACACTTGCCATGTGAACTAGGCTGCACTAGCTAGGATGGCATGCTATGTGGGCCAGATGAGGTTGGGCCAGGTGCCTTGCCATGCCGTGCAAGCTGGGATTGGCACTGCTAGGGCCAGAACGAGCTAGCACCTTGCCATGCCACATGGGCTGCACAAGCCAAGCTAAGCACCTCCAAGGCTAGGACAAGGTTGAGCTAGGCACCACACTACACCACGCAGGTTGGGCAAGTGCCTTGGCACTCCTAGTATGCCGCTGCTCGTGCTTGATATACCAGTATACCAGTATGCTGGCACCTACCACCATGCTGTGTAGGTTGGGCCTGGACGAGTGCCTTGGCACACCATGTAGGCTAGGCAAGTGTCAGGCAAGGCACGTTGTGAGCTAGGCTGGGTGCCTCACCCGCTACCGCCTGCTCCTAGTATGCCAACATAGTGATTAGCCTATGCACAGTGAGGCATAGATTGCACTATACTGGGTACTAGGCCCATTGTTGCTTGCACTCGATATGCCAACGTACTAGTGAATATAGGCCAAGCACGTGTAAGCTTCTGAATTTAGACTTATCAAGATGTCATTCAACTCAATACTACTCAAACCCAAAGATGCTTAACTTTCAGTATCCCAAGACCTTTAACCAATTGAAAAAAAGAGTGCACTTTTGTTCATGGGCTCTTTATCTTTATATTTAAACCTTAATGAATAGTTTTTTAAGTCATTCCTTTTAATTATTTACAATTTACCATGCTTCCCTACAAGTTTATGCCCTCATAAATGAAAGTTGAGAGTTGCAACTCTCCTAAGAACCTTGCTATCTTGACAACTTACCCTTGTTTAGCCGGAGGCAAACTAAACCTACCTAATATCAATTTTAACATATGGTGTGATTCCCTTAGCAAACCAACAAAGTTAAACCCAAAACCGCTCTAATACCAAATGGAAGTTTTTGAATTTAGGAGGTCATCTAGCTCAGTACTACTTAAACCCAAGGATGCTTAACCCCAAGTATCTTAACACCCTTAAAAAATTGGAAAAAAAAGGTGCACTTTTGTTCATAAGCTTATTACTTTTATATTTGAACCCCTATGGATTATCTCTCAAAATCATTCCTTTTGACTATTTACACAACACTATTATAGTTGAATGATTAGAGTGTAAGTGAACACTACTTTTTTAGGAGTTCCACTCCTACTTTCAACTTTCTAAGTTGGAGTTTTTAGTTCAAACATGTTATGCTCATTAAACTTCCATTTTGACCATTGCTATATAACACCATTTTGGCTTCACTTTGGGGGATAAGGATTTGTGTCTCACATAGGGTTTTTTCTCTTGGGTCTGGGTGAAGGTGGATAGTATTAGGATTTGCAACATTCTAAATCCAAGGAGATTAGAATTTTTGGATCTCCAATTAAAATATAAGGCTGCAATCATGCTAAAGTGAATGTAAAGCAAAAGTTGATTGTCATCATTTTCTCCTATTTTAGTTCTAGTGGAGATGCCCATATAATGCTAACCACGAATTTGCCAACTCCAACTTCATTGATATTCAAAGCTATTTATAACGTTTTTTAGTTTTCTTGCCCTTCTATCAACATGCACTCGTTTTTTGCATAGGTTTGTAAGTGAGCTTCAATCCACATGTAATGGCAACATCTTCTTTGAGCTATCACCTCTTATTAGTTCAAAACAAAAGGGGATGGAGGTCAAGCAAGACATCTATAGCTAGTACAAAATCAAAACCACACACTTCAAACATTTTAAATACACAGTATTTATAGTTCATTCTAGTGGGTATTTAGATTGCATGAAAAAGGCATGCAATTGAGAGTATGGTAAAAATTTCATATTTTTTGAAGGATTTGTAATCAATCCTCCTATCCGTGACACCATTAATATTAAATTCAAGTGTCAGTTTTGCAAAAATGTTTTATTATATCATGCCATTTGCAACTTTCTTCCATAGGATAGAGAGGCTTGAAGATATTATAATGATAAAATCTAATGTAGTACCTAAAGAATGGTCGGTTGATACTGGGGTTGCGTTCACTTTATATGAGATTAAAAATCTTAAGAAATCTTGTTTTAATCTTGAGAGGAAGAGAGTTGAAAACATGAGTAATAGAACTAACACTATTCCCATAGAGATGTATAGAAGACTTGTAAGAAAAGGTAAGGTAATTAAATTTATTAAGGTAAAATAAGTTTAGTTTAGACATTTGAGTGTGAGATTCTTTTCATGAAGTACATCACTGCGCTAGCAAAAAAGTATACTATAAAAACAAAAAGTGAAGAGTATATAATTATCATTTAAGACTTTTCTTCTTGCTCATGTTCAAACTTTATAAAATGCAAGGAACATAAAAAGGCATATACTCCTTGCAAGCATATATACTATGTCTTAATTAACATTTTGCATTATATAGTGGATACTTACTATTGTTGAGTTATAAAAGATTTTAGAGGTAATTAGATTATGTGTATTCTCTACCAATATTAGAAACTTTTATATTTTATATAATTATTAGAAATACATACTTTTCATTTTATATACTTTTTATTTTTAATTTTTTTAAATTTTATATACAAGAGTTCTTTTTGCAATAATGCCCATAATATTCATGTTTCTCATAGATGCATAGCCTTCCAAAAGAATCTTAATTCAAAAGAATCTTAATTCAGACATGATAATTTATAAAAAGCAGAATGGATCTAAATCTTATCTTATTTACAATTCTGATGAACCTATATATTTTGGCACATAGAATATTGATAAGAAATCTCTTACAAAATATTTTTATTAATAAACAGATGTTAAAATATATTGCAAAGTTAGGTTTGCCATGAACCTTAACTTCTGAAACTTTGTAATATTTTTATTGAACTACATTAGTCAGCTCGTGAATTAAAAGGGTTATAAAATGACCCAACGCTTAACACATGCCAGATGCAATTTTTGCCGACTACAATGTCCATTTTCAGATGCAGAATGTCTTGGGAGCTTTTAAAGCTCCCCAGGAGCAATTCTGCTTCGGATTGGTATTCTCCAGTCCTCGAAGCTGCAGGCTTTTTCACTTCGATGAGAGCCCTCAGGCCGTCAATCGCTGTCCCTGCTAGGATAGATTGCACCAAGCAGATGGCGGCATCGGAAGTGCCACTGAAATCGGCTGAGAACACTGCACTGCTCACGGAGAGCCACTGCTGGTGCCTTGTCGCGGCGAACCACCCAAATTTTGGGGGCAACTTGACGTGGTCCTTCAGATGGTCCAGGTAGGAGGCTGTTTGTGAGCCTTCCCCGACGATGCTCCACGTATACGGAGGAAGTGGGCTCGGCACTATTCTGTCCTCTTCGGCCAAAACCACCTCCCTCACCAGTCGGCCACGCCGGAGGACACAAACCGCATCGTACGATACATGGGAGACTTGGTAGTGTGGCCTACGCTCACCTCCTCTTCTTCCTCTTCTTTCTTCCTCTTCATTTTCACAATTCTAGGGTTCTTTGGTGTTCCTTTTGTGATCATGGCGGCTGTGGGGTACTTGTACAAGCGGCTGTATGCGGGTGCGCCACCTCAATGGCAGTTGATAGATGTTGGCCGACATGTCCGTGCAGCATCCCAGGTATGCTATTTTGTGCTTGGTGTCTTACCCTGAATCCCTTGCAGCATGGCGCGGCTGCCATCGAGGAGAAGATGTATGTGGTAGGAGGATGCTGCACGGACCGATACTTGAACGATGTGCTGGTGAGTTAAGTATCTTTCTCAGGTTCTTAGTAACACTCTCGTGGAGGTTTTCGATTTGGGAGGCTTGAGGTGGTCGACAGCCCAACCTTGTCCCGTGTCGTGCGCCGGCCATTCCGTGGTGAGTGAGGCTATTCTTCAAGTTGTTTATAGGGGGCTTTGCTTAAACACGGTCGACGAGCTTTGCAGGTAGCAAGTGGAAAAACGCTCTTACTCGTTGTTGGCATTCCGTCTGATGAAAAGATGCGCGGTACTGTGTGGCTTTTGTTTTCCTCCTTTCCATGCCTTGGGCTCATCAATCTCCGTGTATGCAGTGTACCAATTTGACACGAATCAGTGGTCACGTTTGAAGACGGGGGGAGACACTCCGGTAAGCAAGCATTCTAGATGTTTTAGCTTGTCGTTAAATCTTCAAGTCATAGGCTGCAACTCGCGGTCACTCCACCACCCTGATCGGGAGCAAAATATGGGTGTATGGCGGTGTGGATTTTCATGGTCAGCTGCGCCGTGAGCTACATGCACTCGATCTGGGAAGCAATCAGTGGGAGCTGATCGAAGCACGGTAATATATCAATCCGCAATTCCTGTTTTACTTGCGGCCTCCATGGCAGTGGCGTCATCCCACCAGCGCTTTCTTTCCATGCTGCTGTGCATGAGGGCAACCATCTGTACCTTTTCGGAGCTGGCTCATCAGGCTTCTGCAAGAACCTATACGCACTGGATCTCGTAGAGGTATGCACGGAGTAAGACGCAACTCTGATGGTGTCGCCAAATTGTTTTGCAGAGAGAATGGTCCAGGTATCCAGATCAAGGTCCTGCCCTCGTGCCTGCCGCACGTTTTGCAACTGCAGTCACTGAAAACCAGTGCTATGTTGTTGGTGGTAAATTTGGCTTTCTGCTGCTCCGTTTATACCTCATATATCTATAACAGGCTCTACGAAAGAAACCATGCTACTGAACATGGAGTCTTTGGAGTGGACTGTAGTGTGTGCCGAACCTCGTTTGGCTACTGAGGTAAGTGCTTAAGTTGCACTTGTCTCTCTGACTACTAAGTCTACGTAACGTGTAGAGCCTGAGCTTGGTGCACGCAAGAATCAAAGGTCGAGGCGCTCTGGTTGCTTCAGGGGGGAATCCGGTACGTGTGTGTTCCGTCTTGGACGCCGCAAGGGCGTGTTCTTGACAATGAACTCCAAGATTTTAGCTCTATGTGTTGGCCGCTCACCCGATTGATCCTCTGCCCTTCTTGCCTGCAGTTTAGCGTCTTTCTACTCAAGACTATGAAGTCATATCCGGTGCTTCCGCATCCGATGGGCAAGTGCCAGGTGAGGAGCGTAGACGGGCCACTTCTGGAGCTGTTTGAGATTCCAGACGCAGGAGAGCAGGCCCTTAAGATTATAGACAGGCTTTGGACCAAGGTGGGGAACGGAGGCGACTTGGTGAGGGACGGCCGTCCTCTGGAACGTGACGATGTCATCTTTCCAGGAGACGAGCTAACATTCCGCCCGAATGATTTTGTTGGAATACGTGGTAGCATTCATCACCAGGTCTGTGAGGTCCGTCTCATGGCACTTGGAGGCTGTCAGCTAGTCCTCGCCGCGGCGAAGATCGAGCTCATTAGAGGGGAAGGGTGGCTAGAACCGCGGGAGGAAATTGAGAGCCAAGCCTTCGCAGGGTGGAATAGCAGGAGGCCAGGGGACACGATGGAGTACCTGGTGGAGGGTGCTAAAGTTCCCCGTTTTTACAGGCTGGAGCATGTAGCTAACGATGAGGGCACATTCATGGAGGAGATATCGACCACAACCCCGGACGAGTTCCCCTACACCCTCTGCTTCAAACTGGACGCGATGCTCATGCACATGAGTGTGGCCGAGGACATCATCACGGGCTACTATATGAAGGAAGAGATTGGCGAGGTGGACATCTGGAGGGCTCTCGTGATGTTGGTGGGAGTGAACATCAGATGCCGCACCCTCAAGCCGTGGATGGTGATCACGGACCTCAAAGACGAATGGCACTTCGCGTGGATGGACTGGCCACGCATGTACGTGTGCAAGGCGTGGAGCAGGAGCCAGGGACTGGGGATTCTCTGTGACCTGTGCCACGACTACAACCTGGTAACCTCGCCTGAGACGAAGGGCTGTCTCTCGAACCTGCCTAGCATCTTCACTCGCGCTTGTCCGGGGTTCAAATGGGATATGGATGAGGAGACGCGGGTGATGTTCGCCCCTCGCCCGCCTGTCTATCATAGGTGTGCTGAAACTGGCAGGGCACTCAAGCAATATAGACCTGAGGAGCTTATTTATAGGTGATCAGTTGCTGTACCATTGCAATCTTAGTGAGTATTTCTTATCCTCCTCAAACAAACTGTCTTGGATATTGAGTCTTTGTATTGGTCTGGGCCATGACTCTCAAGGACAAGGCCAAGGCAGGGGTCACCATTCGCCGCTTTTAGCCTGCATGCCTCCTATCAGGTGGTTTAAACGCTTAAAAACTGTTTATTAAGTTATCAAGAGATGATTGTATGTGTGAACTACATGCGCCAGGAGCTGGATCAGCAGGCTCGCTGAAAGAGCTGAAGTGGAGCTTATATATTTATGCTTAAAAATTCAAAGATCCCAGAGCACTAAACTTCCAAGAACACCAACACTGAAACGCTGGATCTTGCTTGTGCCAAGGAGTTTCACAGCCCGGCTTTTGCGGGCCACTGTCTCGCAAGCTCATCATAAAGCTCATGGGAAGCAAATGAAAATTCCAAGTGAAAGAGCTGTGGGTAAACTCTTTTTGTTGATCAATCCATCTTTGGATATTTATTCGCTTTTTCCATGTTGTTAGGTTTTAAGGATATTTCTAAGAAAGAAGAAGGTTTATATTTCTAGCAATCCAAACAGTAACTTTTATGCTTGCTAAATTTTGGATTTTTATATTAAGCAAACCAGGAGGATGGTAATGAATATATCTAGAATATGCTTGGATATTCTAGGTATTCATTTAGATTAATGTTGTATTTATAATTTATAAAAAATGTTTATAATTTATAAACTTTCTTAAACCCTAAGATATTCTTTTTTATTCTATCATCTAATGGTTTATATGCAATATAAATTACAAACATGCTTATAATTATAAACTTTATTTAATAAATTAGATTAATAAGTAAAAATAACACTACTATTAAGAAAACCAAGCATTGTACTTGGTATCCTGAAAATTTTACTTCAACAGTTTTAGTCAATTTGAGAATAGAAATTTCTGTATTAAAATTAAACGATTTCTAAATTTATATTCATCAAATTATGGTGGAAAAGTAGAAGGAGAATTAATGAGGAATTTAGTAAATAACTTAAAAACTAATATACAGATGATATGTGTAATAAATGTGAAGTTAAATATCCAAGGAATTTTTATTTCATCTTTCATCCTTATAGAGTTGAATTAAAAATGGGAAGCTTTACTAGCTTAACCTTTATCCAAGTTAAATTTTAACATCTCCACATTAAAATAATTTGCTGCACATTGTATGTAATAATTCTTGGTTTTCTTAATAATAGTGTTATTCTTATTTAATATTTTTGAATAATCGAAATAATCTATAATTATAAACATGTTTCTAATTTATAAATCATTTCATATCAACCATTAGAATAAATAGTAAATTGCTATGCATTGCATGTAGTAATGCTTAGTTTGCTTAATAGTAGTGTTATTCTTACTTATTAATCGAATTGATCAAATAAATCTTATAATTATAAGCATATTTCTAATTTGTAAACACAAGATTAATAAAAAGAAAGTTTATAAATTATAAACATGTTTATAAATTATAAATACAAAGATTAATCTAAATGGATAATAACCGTTAGATGGTAGTATATCCTAAAATATTCAAGCATATTTTAGGTATATCTACTATCATCCCAGTCCCCCTGTAGGCTTGCTTAAACAAACCAAAAATATACTAGAACGTGTTAGGAAAGTTTAGATTAATCTAACTAAATAACAACCGTTAATATCCTAGAATATTAAATATATTTTAGGCATGTTCACTACCATTCAGGTTTTGCTTAAGCAATGAGTTTTTAGTTTCTTAAAGTAGTGGGATGGTAGTAAATATACCTAAAATATGCTTAGATATTCTAGGATATTCTACCATCTAATGGTTGTTATTCATTTAGATTAATCTTGCATTTATAATTTATAAATATATTTATAATTTATAAAATTTCTTAAACACTTTCTAGTATACTCATTTTTATTCTACCATTTAATGGTTGATATGCAATAAGAATAATCTTGTGTTTATAAATTATAAACATGTTTATAATTATAACTTTCATTGGATTAATAATAACAATAACATTACTATTACAAACCAAGCATTACTACATGCAACACACAGCAAATTATTTTATTTTTAAAAATAAAAAATATTATATTATTTACTAAAGCAATATAAGAGTGCAACCTTCTCATACATACTGTAAATTTGTTTGCAACCTTCTCTGCTGAAAATGTTGACAACGATAACAAAGGTTGCATCCTTGGGCTAGATTGAAGGGAGACCCACAAACTGTCTCAATTCGTTGACAGACGAGACAATGCACTATCCACATTCGTATGTCTTTGTGCGTGCCCTTCCAGTGGAAACGTTTGGATTGCGTTGTTGTTGCTGCAACTCTGGCTGAGAATACACTACCCCTGCCACAGAAAAAAAAAACTTGGTGGCTTTTTGAACTTTCTCAATAATGAGTTGGGAAGAACATTCAAGTGACTTGGTTGGAACCAAGGAGAGATCAAGGTGCAATCAAAGGGGTGTGTATATAAGGTGAGAAGTGCTGTACTGATATATGTCAAGTACTATTCCTTTACACCTGGTATCAGAGGGATCAAAAGATTCTCTTTTCTAGGGCTCTGGTTTTTCCAATCAGTTAGTGGTGTACAATGATTTGTGGCATGAACCATAGAAGCAGTGCAGAGAAGTGGTGTGGATTTCTTCTAAATAGGCTAGACAGTAAGGGCTTAGGTTGAGATGGGGAAGGGAAAGGAGGAAGGGAAGCTTCTTCTTTCTCATGATAATGCATTTTGATGGTTTTCCATCATGGAAGCCAAGTTCTCCAAGAAGAAGGTATTGGGAGTAGTCACAGGGTGTGAATAAGTGCCAGTTCTTCTCCCTCCAGAAGAAGTTGCTCAAATGTCTATGGAGCAAAGACAAGCATATCAGTGATGGCATGATGATTTCAAACAGAATGATGTCACTGCAAGAGTGATCTGATGGAGTGAGTGCATTCAGAGGATATCTTGAAGGTGAAAATTTCTCAAACAGCAATTGCAGCTTGGAAAACTCTCCAACAGTTCTACTGTGAGTAGTCTTGGGTGATAGAGATGAGCATCTTCCAAGAGATGGTGAACTGCCACCAAGGTCCACATGAGAAGGCTCAAGATTACATAGATCGGATGACAGCTCTTAGGGATAAGTTGCAGAATATGAGATCTAAATTTTCCAATGCGACTGGAGCTCTCATGATACTCAGACTGAATGAGAAGTACCAGAACGCCAAGATGGAACTCCAAAAAAATTGTCTTTGTCTAGGATTGGATCAAGTGATCGCTAACATCCACCACTATGCCAGCTTGAACAAGGTCTTTCAAGACAAGGATGTTGGAGAGTCCAAGGATGAGGAAAGGGTGGTAATGGCAGCTCAGATGACTGGAAGAAATTCTTTCAAGTGACAGAAATTTTCAAGTGAACGCAACTCGGTGGAACAAGCACGATAAAAGTATGGGAGTGTTCGTTGCAATGAATGTTGTGGTTTCGGGCATTTTGCAATGGATTGTCTTTGTCAAAAGGATTGCAAATGAAAGGGGCCGATTGCAAAATTAGCAGCACATGAGGAAGAGGACAATCTTAATGGTATTCATTTTTCAAGGACTCATCTTTCGTATTTTCAAATTATGCTCAAAGTGGGAAATGTCAAAGTATGAGTTGGCTGCAAGATAGTGGAGCAATGACTTCAAATAAGATGTTCTTTAGATAGATAAACTATAGGAAATTTGATATGTCAGTTAGCACAGCAAGTGGTGAGGCTTTACAAATAATTGTATATAACATAATTTATTTTTCATGTCTTCAACTTGAGGTTGCTAACGTTTTATATGTGCTGAAGCTAGCAAGACACCTTTTTTCTGTCTCGAAACTCGTAGAGCAAGGAGTGTACACATTCTTTCATCACACTGCAGCAGATTTTATTCTTCATTGAACACGAATTGCTCAAGCAATGGCCTTGAATGGCCTTTATTTCCTTTCACTAGACAATCCAAGTGTGCATTCTATCACCTTTTCTAAAACTCGTATTTACAACTATGGCATTTTCGGCTAGGCCACACAAGCTTTCAATGAGTGAAGGAAATCCCTGAGCTAGTATTTAAAGTGCCAGACTTAAAGCACACAAGTTCAGACACATGTGAGGTATGTCTTCAAGCTAAGATGAAAAAGAAAACACTTCCAAAGAAAGTGTCAACTTGAGGTAAACTATTTTAGACTTAGTTCATATCGGACATTTGGGGAGCATCACCGGTAAAGTCACTCAATGGTGCTCATTACTTCCTACTAATTGTGGATGATCTAAGTTGTTATATAGTTGTTTATTTTTTAAGACAGAAATCTGAGGCACCTTGTAAGTTCCTGGAATGGATTTGAGAGTCAGAAAATATACGTGGGATGACAATCCACACACTCAGAGTCGATGGAGGACAGGAGCTTCTCTCACGAGAATTCCAGACGATCCTTGCATCACGTGGTATCTTCTTCCAATCTCTATGCCATATGAACATAGTCAAAACAGGTTGTGGAGTGGAAGATGTTAACAGTCCTTGATGCGGCCAGATCAATTCTTAAGGCATTCAATGTTTCAGTATTCTTTTGGGCCAAGGCTGTGAATACTGCAGTTCATGTGCAAAATATTTTCCCTACAAAAGCAGTCACCATATGAAATTTGGACAGGTTTAAAACCATCTATTACATATTTACGTGTGTTTGGATGTGTAGGATATGTATACATTTCAGCTGAGGAAAGACGAAATAAATGGGAAGATCATTCAACAAGATGTATGATGCTTGGCTATAGTGAGAATACTAAAGGCATATTGTTTTCTTTCGAGAAGATGTACCAGCATACTTTGCCTCGTCAATCAGCAATAAGAAAGACACCAGGTATTTCTTACATTCAATTCTAACCAAGAGATATGGAAATAATAGTGATGAGGAAAGGTTATCAACTCTAGAGACTTCTCCAGCAGAACCACCACTACCACTATTCCTTGAACCACCACCTAAGGATTCACTGCCATCTCAA